ACTTAAAACTCTTACAACTTTAATATATTTTTTAATAGAAATCGATTCAATTATTCTTTACTACCAATGAAAAAAAAATTGTATAACAGTATTAAATACTATAATATGAATGTATGTATTTAAAAATGAATTCAAGTATTTATTTTTTTCTAAGTTAGCATGCAACTGTTATCCTTATTTTTCACATTAGAAAAAATTTTTTTCTCTATGAATTTCAAAAATGTGTTTTTGTTTTTTTTTTAATTTTTAGTATTTTAGTTGTGTGTAGGCTTAAATGGATGAATTATATAAGGATATATATATATATATAAACGCTAATAAAATTTATATGTATATATGTATATGTATAATGTGGCACAGCCTATATGAAAATAACATAGATATATAAATGGAGCCGGCAGTTTTATACTGAAACTCTATAAAATATACAAAATAAAAACACAAAAAAAAAATGAAAATAAAAAAAAATAATAAAAAAAAAGAGTGAATTTATGACTCAAATTTATTCTTATTATTTTTTTTTTTAATATCCTTTTTATATCGCATGTCTCATAATGTAACAGTTTTGCAGACCATTTATGACGTTTTGGCGACTCTATGTCGAATAATACCGGCAAAATACAAAAACAAAATGCAGAAAAAAATTCGATATTTTAGCATATAGCCGATTCCATATTGTAAATAAATAAAAACTAAAAGTATGTACTCTTTATACATATATATATATATAAATATTATTTTTAGGTTTAAATATGCATTAAATAAATATATTTAGATACAAATTTTGTATAGCTATATCGAATATAGAGAGAAATAGCTCTCTTTAACGCTCTGTATTTAAAATTTTAAATAAAATGCAATTATAATAATATATGCAATATAGAGGAGGCAATATTTAAATAATTTATATATATAGTAAAATGTACATTAAAATGTCGCATTAATAAATTTTCTTATATTTAAAAAAAAAACTGAAAACAAAAATATTGACTTTTGTTACACACGAACTCGCTTTTAAAAGTCACATGTATTTTATATAGCAACAAAATATTTTGCATCTTAATTAGATATTTATAGATTTTTTAAAAATAAAATACAGTAAAAAAAAACAAAACCGAATATTGCAAGGACTTTGGTTTATATTCGAAAAACGCATTAAAATATTTAGCAAAACAAAAAAAAATAAAACGAAACAGGAACATGGTAATGAAGAAAATTGAATTTGATCAATAGTAATGACAAAAATATTTATGGATTTATAAAAATCAAACGTGTAAACAAAAAAATAATATTAAATCCTATTCTAGGTATCACTATTGCAGATGGATACTTATCTAGATTTAGTAATCGATGTTGATTAAAGGTAACACTAAAAAAATGAGAAGGCTGCCGGCAAAGTCACGTATCAGGTCTGTCTCATTAACATTGTACACATATAAATCAGGAACGTGGCGTGAGGTACGGTCTGACGTATATGAATCATACCTAAGAGTATATTGGACCAGTCCAGTTAATCATATCAGAGCATTTCATTGTGCCTGAAATAATGAAAGAAATAGTGAATACTAAGAGAAATGATGAATATTCCCTCAAGCAATACAGTAGCCTTATTGATTTTATTAAATCTATTATGATTAATAAGGTGGAATCCAGGCTACAACAGCCGTTCTATTGTACATAGTTGACAATTTCAAATAGTGTTACGCTTATTTGAGTTCCAGCTTACAAGGTTTCGGGCGGTTCTGTGTTTAAATTCGTTGTAAATAAACACTTTCATACTAAGAGAAAATCACAAAACACTTTAGCTAGATTCTACGAAGTGCGAAACATCAGCCTAAGCTTCACATTTTATGCACGTCGCACGCTAATTAAATACACTTCTACAACAGATCTAACTGGTCGCAATGATACTGGGACTTGAATATCACAAATCGAATCAAGAATTTGTGAGGAATGCCTCTACTATATACAAATATAAAATGAATAAGTCAATTTATTTCGAAATAAGAGTTAAAGTACTGTTGGGGGAAAGATAAGACTTGCTTAGCGATATTATATCAAAAATTTTCAAATTCCACGTTCTCGGAGCTTATTGCTATTTGAGTTCAATTTTATAGCAAATCCTGAAGAAACTTAATTGGTTCATAACTAGGGTCCAAAATTCTTTTAAATAGCACAGGTCCCAGTTTAAATATTATGGTATCAAAGGTGATCCAAAGACTTAATTACTTACAATTCGACAGCTGTTATTATTGAAGTAACAATATCGTGCAATCAATATTCCAAATACAATCATAATTTTGAGATTATGTTAACAAGTAGACGATAATTTTTCCTATATCTTTTTAAGTGTTCGTGTAATACAACAACATTATCCCAATTTTATTAACTTTCGCCATACAATAGTATAAATATTTTAATAAAAACATTTTGTTTCTAAAATAAAATAATTAATACTAATAAAACATATATATTTGTGTGTACACATTTTTTTTTTTTTTTGTAAGGAATTCTCGGTATATAATCTTAAATAATTCGCATACCCCATAATATTTCCTTTTTTTTTTCTATTCTTCTTTCCCAACAATAGTTTTATCTTAATTAAAATAACCTTTGTAGTTTTGTTAATGCATGATACATGCGATTGTTAATTACATTTAAACATTCTACTTAAGTATATAAGGAGCGAACTAATGGAATAATTCACGAGATATTATAATGCAATTAAAAAGGAGAACAAAAAGTAAAATGTGATGTTTAATTAGTGTATACACAATAAAGTCCCATACATTTCGTTGAAAGAGAATTGGAAATTCATTAAAAATGGAAAATACATTTCTGGTCATTTTTTGTCTCGATATGATAATTGCACAGAATTTTTAATAAAGAAGAGCGGTTGGTACTCCGAAAGAATTTGATCTGTTCAAGCTGCTAGTTAGTTGCTTCATATTCTAAACAAAAAGATTTTAATAACAACCCAAGACGGTGATATGTTTAAAAATTTCATTAAATTTTCTCTTAAATTCTAAAAATAAAATTCTCTTAAATCCGATCCAATACAATACATATTTGGATAATCTGAAAAGTCGCTAATCGTTTACAATTGATCATCAACAATTGACCTGTAAAAGTAACAGAAAAAAAAAGGAACAAACAAATTCAATTTTCTAATATAAAAAGAAAAGGGTAAATTTTTTATCTCAATTTCTCATATCCTTCAGTAATATTAACAAGTGGGTGTTACAATATAAAATGAAGAGTTTAAAGTGATGCAGATGATAAAATTTTTTTTTTCCATTTTTATTTGTTACATCAAAGGCAATTTAATGCCTATTACTTGGAAGAAAGAAAAAAATTAACAATTTTTCAAAAAACCTTTTAATAAATTATTTTGTAACCAAGTGTTAATAAACAGCATATTGTGATTGCCTTGAAAATAATCCACCCCAACTATTTAAAAAATTTTACTGTATAATACTTGATAAATGGAAATTGTTTAAAAATTTTATACAAAATAATTTATATGCAATGTGAAATTGTCAATTTTAAATAATTAAAAACAAAATTTTATGATCCTGTGATTCTACGGATAAAAATCAAAATTTTCTTGAAATTTTTAAAATTTAAATGTTTTAGAACCTAGCTGGCAATTGAATTATTCACATTAAATTTTTCAAAAGACCAGTTGTACGGCCAACATAAAACTTTCTATGGAAGCAATTTAAAAATTTTCCATTTTCTACAAATCAATGATTTTAAATATAAGAAAGTGAAGACGGACATCACAATATTCAATATTTTTTCTTAATTTCAAAGTATGTACTTATTAGACTTATTTTCGAAATGCTCTCAAAACCAGTTAACATCTGTTAAGCTATTAAACAGAATTTGGTTTTTTTTTTATGTTTGCAATTTTCCAATTACAGAGGCAATTTACATTTGACAATCAGATAAAAAACAGAATTTTATCCTTGAATAAAGGATAATAGGTATAGGAAAAAAAATAGAAATTGCTTAAGAAAATTATAAAATATTTTCAAGTATAGGCACATATATTGAATGATATATATGTATATACACAAATATATATATATATATAGATTTAATATCATGCCTTGTATATACATATATATATATATATACATTTCTTATATTTTTCTTAAAATATCAATCAATTTTTATTTTTTTCCAATTTTTCTTTTCTTTAAAACATATTATATTGTGTGTCAATGATATCATCCTATAAATATGCAATCAAATTATATATTTTTCTTATGTGGTTTTGTCATATAATTTTTTTCTTTTTTGTATTTTATAAAATTTTAACTCAGCTGATAAGTGCTTTCCATTCAAATTTAAAATATAAGAAAAATAATAATAAAAATAAATCAATAATATACAAACAATGTATAAAATGCACTCGTTGTTATTATTATATTTGCAAGGATATAAAATTATTATTACGAGTAAAGCTGTCATAATTCTCTCTTCTTTCTATTGTAATTGTATATTATAAGGTAACATGGAAAATATTTCACCACCTTATCCTATTTATAAAATTTTAAATATTTTATGTACAATATTAATATATTTATTTTATTGTGTATATTGAAGAAAAAAAATAAAAAAATTTTTTAAAACATCATAATCATAAATATAGTTTAAAGAATATAATTCAAAATATATATGTATGTTTGCATGTATATACAATTTTTGAAAAACATACTTAAAAAAAAGGAAATTTACTATCCTGTTGTTGTTTTGTATTATGCAAATTCAAATAATTTCAAGTTCATTGCAGCTGCTTCATATATAAAAAATATTTGCATTTAAATTTTAAAGAAAGCAAATCAAGGAGAATGAAGCGACGGCTTGTTTTATTTTTTTATATTATTTTTATTTTTTTATTAAAAATATCTACTTAAATATTGACTTCATTACAGTATTCCTTAACCAGAGAACTGTGGCCAATGCAGGATCTGTGTCGTACTTTGGACCTAATGTCTTTCCGCCAGGGAGACATTGGAGCTGTGATAGCGGTCATAACGGGTCATTTTTGTCTTATTGGTAACCCAAAAGGAAAGGCCGCCATGCAAACGATCTCTGCTGAAGCTGCTTTGACGAGAAGATTGCTTGGGTCATTTTTACGGACTTCGAATCTGGGGAATGTATGTAAATGCTAGGGGCATTAGCCGGTTTCTGAACAGCTTGGGTTTGTTCACGTGAAGGCAGGGGATTTTGTGGATCCGGCACATCCGGGATTTTGTGGTATCAACCATACCTTACCGGCCGCGTTAACCTAAACCTAGCTTAAACCTAATCTAAACCTTCTGTATTCCTTAACTCTGTAAAAAATATTAGAGTCTTTGTGTAGATGTCGAAGAAATTGTAGACCAAAGTGCAAACATGCATTATAATTTATAAGAGTGAGTCCATTTCATCAATAAAATCAAGAATTGGTCATAAATTCAAAGAAGTTATAAGTTCATAAAATGAACAAAAGAGAAACCAAATTAGTTACCTTGATATTGAACAGCAAATTCTTACAGAAACAAAACGAGGATCACGACAAAGAAATACGACAAAGAATTGTAAAACTTGTAACTCAGTAAATTCGACAAGTTAGATCCAAAAAACTAGCTCACAAATTCATTGGTATCGAATTTAACCAAATCTTTTTTTTACACAAGACCCCAATTTAAATACGATATGACATTGAATATGTTAAAAACTATTCATGTTCTGAATATAATACAAAAATTTCAAATAATGTACAGAGGGTAATATTATCAGTAAAATGAAAAAAAAAAATGCGAAAATAATGAAAAGGGTTGGTGCATGTATGGTTTTTATTATTTTCTACATTTTTACAAATTTTTTTCATTTTATTTTTTTTTTTTAATATTTTGCAATATGTTTTTTTTTTCAATCACATTTTATTTGATTTCACCTGAATAGAACACCTGCACATTATTATTATATTTTTTTATAAATATGAAGGAGAATGCAAAAAAAAAAATTATATAGTAACGTTAAGATGAACAAATATAAAACATTTTGATATCGTATATAGAATTTTTTTTTTACTGCACGAACACAATAACAACCATTGCATATATACAAATATAATGGTTGCTTTATAATACGCAAAAGTGCATGCATATGTGAATATGGTGATAAAATAACAATATGTATATATATTGTTTAAATCCATTATCGATTCCAGTACCGGTGACTGAATATGAAAAATTTAATCAAAATATATGAGTACAATGAAAATTTCAGTGAATTTTCTTGTATTTTAAATTTTTAAACCAGAAAAATATGCTAAAAAAATTAACAATAACTTAAAATATTTTCTAATTACAGTAGAAATATTCAATTAATCCGAATTCGTAATAAAATAAAAAATTCTTTATTATATATGATACGATGTCACAACCTCTGCCATCATCAAAATCGATTGTGGCAATGCCTTCTTAATTGAGCCGATTAGAGCGTATGTTTATAAAATTTTTTACTCCAATGTTGTCGTCATTTCGAATATGTGAGAGATGACATGTAAAGTTCATTGTGACCGAATACGAGAAGTAAGTAATCAATTTCTATATTACGAGTATCATAAGTTTGACCCCTATAATTTGTTGAAAATCATGCCAAATCGACGTAGATTTTCAGCAAATGCGGACGGATTCAAGAAATTCAGGACGGATGACAATGTAGTACGGGTGGAAATGGAACAAAAATGATTCAAAAAACTATCACTACATCGCACCACAACTTCTCTTAGAAATAATTGTTTTGCCTGAAAAATATTCAACCACCACTCAACTGCTCATTCATATACGATTTTTCGGTTGAAATTTCTCTACAACTTGATAATTCATTCCATTATGATAATTGATTCCATTCTCAAATAGCAGTGTATGTGGAAGTATGCCGGATGGAGTCAATTCGTTGAAGAGTTCAACTCAGTTGTGTAGTTTGATGATATTGGCCGGGTCTTCCTCAAAAAATGAATCGGAGCAGTAAAAAAATTGCGTATTTACATCGAATTTAGTAGATTATTTAGCGACTCATTTCTCATTGGTGAAGAATTTGTTATGGCGACAATCACAGGATAACTCCAAATTGTTTAAATCCACCAGAGTTTTCGCCATTGAGTAAGAAACAAAGAAAAAACTGAAAACTAAACTAGCTAAGTGTCTTTTATGTAGTGTTCAAAAAATTAAATTTTACATTCGGAAGGACAAATAGTTTTTTTTTTATTTTATTTTCCATTGCATATAAACTTTTTCATAGATTAAATTAAATAAAGGGATATTCAACTTGGATTTAAAATAAATATTAAAATTTTAAATCAAGCATAGAGCAGCCAAATAAAAAGCAAATATAAATTTTAAAATTTTTACAATTTGCATTGCACACTGTTTGCGGACACAACAAATATGATGTCAGAAAATATTGTTCCAATCAATTTGTTTTTCATTCGGAAAATTTTTATATTTAAAATATACGAGATGGTATACCGACCGACCAACTGCTTCTCTACATTTAAAATTTCTATTATAGTTTATTCTTCTTCTAGTCTTAAATAGTTTTGAGAAAAAAAAAAATTTTGTATTCTTTTGTCAATTCTCCTATATAAGTTTCCTGTATAAGCAAAGTTTTAAATCAAAAGGAAAAAAAAATGGAAAAAGCAAACAAAAATAATAAAAAATGTGATATTGGGCAATGTTCCCAATTTTCTTTGATTTTTAAAATAATTTTTTTTATTTTATTTCTATCAACTGATAAACATCCGGTGAAATTTTGCAAACGTATCGTTTCTTTTCAAATCTGTAAAAGTTTGTCGAAATTTTAAATCCACTTAAAGCTCATTTAATCAAAATTTGAAAAAGTAGTAGATTTTCAGTAGTACAGACTACTTATCACTTATTTGTAATACAATAGAGATTCTACTAAAAATATTTTAAGTATACTGCCTAGTATTCACTCCAACCAGTGCAGAAGATAATCATAAATTCTCTTCTCGTAAATCATTCCATTGTCATATGTCAAAATAATTACATTCTACATTAGTTTTAATTAAAACTAATTAGTTATTAAATTAGTTTTAGTTAAAATTTCTCATTTAGAATCCATTTTAATTAAATAAGTTTATAAAAAAAATACAAACTGGTCTGGTAAAGGAAAAAACTTAGAAAAGAATAAACTTAAATAAGAGCAATGGTAATGGTTTATAGAAAAGTACATTTAATTTGAAAGTAATTTTGTTATTATTTTTTTATTATAAAGAGTCGAAGATTTATTCAGATTGTAAATTTTTACCGATATGACCACATCTTTTTGCGATTCTTGCCAATTTACGTGAGGAATTTAAAGATATCTCTTAGTAAATTGGTTAATAGCTCAGCAATATCCGAAATTTATCTCCCCGCAAAGCTAAATGACCAATCGAAAAGAGTACGTATGCGTAGCTTCAACGTTTGCTTTATTCATTCCAAACAGCACCACTCAGGAGAATTTTCTTAAATATCATATAGAAAGACTATTGGATGACTACATTCTTACTTATTTTTTTTTAAATATGTTGGGAGTTCACTTAAACATGGAAGCAAATTTATATTTTTCAATCTACGTACGCAGTCCCCAGGAGGATAACGGCGTACGACGTTCTCCTCAAACCCCTTTGATAATCGTCCACAGACTGTCCTTTTGCTTCCATATCAACTATCTCCGAGTTCAAATTCAGAACTACTCCCGCGAGAGGACACATCAGCTTAAATGTAACATGGATTTTTGGGAATGTAACTCTTCTCTTACAACTCTTTAAGAATTGTCAATTTATTTTTAGAAATCCCTACTGTATGGGTATCTTAAAATAAAGACTGTACCATAGAAGTCCGAAATCTGATCTACAAATAATTGCATATAAAAACGACCAGCTACTGACTATGATTGGAGAATAGTTATCAAACTACAATAAAATATCCATAAATTAATTAAATTCTCAACAAAATAATCTCATAAGAGACAATTTATACTCAACAACCGAAGCCTTATAATAAAATAATAAAAAAATAAGTTTTAAAAGATTTTTCCGATAAAATTTATTTCGAAATTTATTCCCGACAGACCAACGATTAAATTAAAACTGACAAACATATTTTTGTTTCTTTTCCTTCCATTTCCTTGAAAATATTTTCTAAAGAGAAGACTTGAATATTTTTTTTTTTCCTATTTCATTTTGTCCTTTTTTAGATGATAATCTCATTTGGAAAATACTTTTTGAAAATAAGAAAAATTATAAACTATTGTGTAACCACTGCCATTTAACAATAACAAAAATTTATTGTATAACTACAACGAGACACATGGAAAAAAAGGCAAAATTTTATTTTTCATTTCAACTTGTCTTACATAAAAGTTAAAAACTACAACTAGCTGAAACCAACTGTTTTTCTTTAACTTGCTTTTAAATTTTTTTTTTAATAAAATTGCAATAAAAATCCTTACGAATCCTTTTACAAAACAATATTATTATTGTTATGTATTTGTTGGTAAAAGAAAAAATTATAAAAGTCTACAGCCCCTATATTATCTAACATAGTAGGCAATGAATATGTTTTAAAAATTTTCGACTTAAATTTTGTTATAGATAAAAAGACATTTTGTTACTTTTTTCTGATTATTATACAAAAAAAAAACAAACTTTTCTTTGTAGAATTAAAAATAAAATTAAGGACAATGGAATATAAAAATTTTCTTCATTCTTTTTCATTAAAAAAAAAGATCCAAGTTTCTTGCAAGAACGCATAATATACGAGTACAGCAAAATATTGTTGTTTTTTTATTTGGAAAATGCTAGTTTTAGGTCAATTTGGTGGAAAAGAAATTTGTTGGACCTTATTTAAGTGGTTTTGAGATTATAATTTGGAGCATAATTTGAGCAAATAGAAGGATGATGTCGAATAATCTGAGCGAATGAAGGATAATATCGAATAATTTGAGCGAATGTAAGGATGATATCGCATAATTTGAATATATCTATTTGAAACTCTTAGAGTTCTGCCACTTTTGAGTTCTTATATGTATACCAAAATCACCGAATCATATGAACTATCAACTTTCAAAGAAAACAAACGATTGTAAACGCATTTTACAT